CACCCTGGGTGTTTCTCTGGCACTGCCACACTGTGGAAAACCCACAGAGGGAGCTGTTCTTTAAAGGACACAAAACCCTGCAATATTTATCTATTCCATATATAAATATAATATATAACACGTTATATAATATTGTTATTGTTATTATTACTATTATTCACAAGCTCTTATGCATAGTAAACATAATTTTTCCTGAAACGAGTTTACATTTTCTAAGCCTGTTTAGTGCAGTTCTTCTTTGGGTTTGTTTTTTTAGGTATGTGTATTCCTTGGTTGTGGTTTTGGCTTTTTTCATTGTTACTTTCCATTTTGGCTCTGGCCCGCCCTGTCTTTAGGCAGTGAGTGTTGACAGTCGGTGTGTTTGCAGTAGGTGGTTTTTTCATGTGGTTATCTCATCTAAGGAGCTAATAACAATAATTACTATTATTATACATTGTAATATTGGCTGTTCTCAAACGTGAAAATGAATTTTATATGTGTAATGTTAAAGTCACTTTGTTACAAAGATGTGTTTTTTTAATTTCTGTTGTTAGTTAAAATAGGGAAATAACTAATATAAGTATACTTGTGTTAAAATAGCTGCTTAGATGAGATAAACACAGGAAAAAACCACCTACTGCAAACACACCAGCTACCAACAGTCGCTGCCTAAAGACAGGGTGGGCCAGAGCCAAAACTGAAAATAATAATAATAAAAAAACCCTAAAACCACAAAGAACAGTCATACTCGAAAAAAACACACCCAAAGAACCACACTAAACAGCTCTTAAAATATGTAAATTAATTTTTGAAAAGATGTATACTCATTTTAAAAAAAGATGTAAATTCATTTAAGAAAAGAACTGTGTGTACTACACATAAGAGTCTGTGCATATGCAACAAGCTGCTGTAGGAGAATCCGAGGAGTATCTCTGGAGAGCCCCGAAAACCTCTGCTCTGTGTTCCTTGTCCCTTTTGTCCTTTATTAAACTTTTCCCAGGGGTGTAAAGGTGTTTTCTCAGGGGAGTCAAGGTGTTTGCACTGGGGAGTGAAGGTGTTTGCACTGGGGAGTCAAGGTGTTTTCTCAGGGGAGTCAAGGTGTTTGCACCAGGGAGTCAAGGTGTTTGCACAGGGCAGTCAAGGTGTTTGCACTGGGGAGTCAAGGTGTTTGCACTGGGGAGTCAAGGTGTTTGCACTGGGGAGTCAAGGTGTTTGCACTGGGGAGTCAAGGTGTTTGCACTGGGGAGTCAAGGTGTTTGCACTGGGGAGTCAAGGTGTTTGCACTGGGGAGTCAAGGTGTTTGCACTGGGGAGTCAAGGTGTTTGCACTGGGGAGTCAAGGTGTTTGCACTGGGGAGTCAAGGTGTTTGCACTGGGGAGTGAAGGTGTTTACACTGGGGAGTCAAGGTGTTTGCACTGGGGAGTCAAGGTGTTTGCACCGGGGAGTGAAGGTGTTTGCACCGGGGAGTCAAGGTGTTTGCACCGGGGAGTCAAGGTGTTTGCACAGGGCAGTCAAGGTGTTTGCACTGGGGAGTCAAGGTGTTTGCACAGGGCAGTCAAGGTGTTTGCACTGGGGAGTCAAGGTGTTTGCTCTGGGGAGTGAAGGTGTTTTCTCAGGGGAGTCAAGGTGTTTTCTCAGGGGAGTCAAGGTGTTTACACTGGGGAGTCAAGGGGTTTGCACTGGGGAGT